CCCCCCAAAGCCCCAGTAGATAGTTGCATGTCATAGGTTCACATCCTTCTAGTTGCTGTATGTGGGACTCGGCCTCACGTTGGACGGAGAAGTGGTGCCTCGGGGCGCGCCCGGGATCCGAACCCGGGCCGCCAGCATCAGAGCGCGCGCACTTAACCGCTAAGCCACGGAGCCGGCCCTGTGTTTTTCTAAAACAAGGGGAATTGACAGGTGAAAAATCAGATCACATGTTTAAACTCATTTTACAAACTTGATAGCTGATAAGTTTCATCTTACTTTGTGATGTTTGGATATAGGCATAATTCAAATGGGAAAAACATGGAAGGAAAAATTTACATTTTAAAAATTCATTTCATTTTGAACTCTAAACATTTATTAGAGTTTTCTTTTGCCTCTTTTTCTTTGTCTTTGGGAATTCATGCTCCATTGTTTGCTTTCTCCTGCACATTTTTATTTGTATTGATGCTTTTCAGATGTCTAATTCTTGTTTAAAATGTAACCATTGATTACTTTTCCTTTGACTTCAGATTTGTGGTACTGTTCACCATATATTGTGTGGAACATCCTTGTTTAATTTTATCCAGTTGCTTCAGAAGCACTATTATGATGATCACTAAAGTGTTAACGTTTGTCTAGCCAGGCTGCTCTGAATTCACTGTGGGCTTTCTTTGAGGATATAGGAAGGTATGAAAAATATTGATTCCTAGTGAATTAGGGATTTTACTTTTACTCTTTTCTGCTGTGCTTTGAACATCTTCTCTTTTGGCTCTTACTGAATAGTTATTTATTTTCTTGAAATATCTGGTTTTCTTTTGTTTATTTATTGCTACTTCTAAGAAATTCCACTGGTGATTTTTTGTGTGTGTAAGGAAGATTAGCACTGAGCTAACGTTTGTTGCCAATCCTCCTCTTTTTGCTGAGGAAGATTGGCTCTGAGCTAACATCTGTGCCCATCTACCTCTATTTTTATGTGGGACGCCTGCCACAGCATGGCTTGATAAGTGGTGCGCAGGTCCATGCCCGAGATCCGAACCTGCGAACCCCGGGCCGCCAAAGCAGAGTGTGCAAATTTAACCGCTATGCCACTGGGTCCCATTGGTGATTTTTATTGAGACACAGATTACAGATCATTTTAGTCTTTTTTGGGAGATGAGGATCACCTTAAATGTAATAGCACTTTGAAAAATAAATATTTTTTCACTCCAAAAACCATAATACAATGTCATTAAAACAATCTTTCAAAATAAATTCACCTACCATTATAATGCAGGTGGATTTCAGTTTTGCATATTCTGTTTCAGTCTTTATCCATATGCACATGCATTGTTTACCTAATTGTAATGAAAGTATATGTGCAACTTTTGATGATTTTAGTTTTCTTATATAAAGCAAAATATTAGCTCTACTAATAGAGATCTAAATAAAAACAGACATTTTATTCATCCACAATCTTTCCAACCCAGCAAAGGTGTCTCCTTAAACTTTATATATATCTATGCACAATTTAAAACTTGTGATGATTTGTACCTGATTTTATTTTATTAATTATTGGATGAGCTTCAATGGGAATGTGTAGACTCCCAGAGCTTGGCACCTAATGTGCAAGTCATGGCTGTATTATTCCTTCCCAACTGCCAGGCTGCCCAGATACTTAAGCCCAACTAGAGCTAAGGGAATGCAGGGAGGCAGAGGGCACGGCTGGGCCCTTGCCTCCTGTACAGGAGTCCTAGTGCTTTCCTGTCTAAGTTGATAGGTCTACCCCTTCTTCACCATGGGGTCATTCTGGTTGGTGTCGTTGTGAAGACTCTTTTAGAAAATCTCTTCACTCAGAGCAGGTCATTTCGTATTCCCTGTTTTTATCCACAAATAATCTCTCTTTCCAATAGATGATAATGGACCTATTGTCTGAATATGTAAATCCTTTTCTCACTTCCTTCATAATGTTTATCTGCCTAGACATAAAGGGATTCTAATACCTTGGCTTTAAACTAGCATACTGGACATAATTTTGCAAACATAAATGCTTTAATTTTCTTTAAAAACAGCTTCTTAATGCATGCCAACACGATTTCCCCTCCAGGTGAGTTATAGGTTCACTCTTGTGCTGTGTCGTTAGACTATATGACATGCATTACCTGAAACCGGAGGTGGATTAATTGTGACCTTGAGATGTTTATGATTTCTGAGTGCTTTTAGTGGGAGTGAGAGACAGTACTTAGTCTGATGGCTGAAGGTTCAGATGTCTTTTCAGTCAGCAGTTGAGAAGTACACTAGTCAAGCGAACAATTTTCTGTATCCATTTTATGGCAAATTATCATGATTATTGTGTATTCTGTAGCTTTTGAGCACTGTGCTCTGCTAACACCTTGGAGTAGTTTTTGTGGCTGAGAAGTAGAAATGCTTTCTGCTTATAGTCTGGATAATAAGGCAAGAATATCATCTACCTAGGAGAAAGTGGAGAATTTCAGTATGAAAACCATCTGAATATTTGTGGAGTGGATGATTTTGGAACATATCGGCATTATCTTTTTCCTTGAGGCTTTTGGGGTATGATCGTTTGATAGAAAATTGCCTGATGAATGAAGCATGAGCATAAGGAATAAGGTTTGGATTTCAGGGCATGTAAGTAGGTATATTTCTCAAAGGGAACTGAAATTATTGAGCTAGTGACTACCACCTGAGTAATAGTGATATTTCAGTTGTTAGGACCAGTGTACATGTGAGTTAGTTGGATTCACTGCCGGGGTGGGGGGGGGGGTATCCCATAACATTTAGAACCCTCCTATACTTATTACAATGGTGCTTTCTGCTCTCTCCTTCCCCCACCAAGAATTTGACCAGTAGTGAATGAAATATGACAGTTTACATATAAAAACAAAAATTAGATTGTAAGTAGTGCTTCTTCATTTGTTTAGAAGTTTTGTTTGTTTATCTGGATGAAAATGACTGAATTTGATGGGTTTTCATTTTTCTTTTAGGCTCAGTTTATGAACCTCTTAAAAGCATTAATCTTCCGAGACCTGATAATGAAACTCTGTGGGATAAACTGGATCATTATTACAGAATTGGTAAGCAAAACCTGAGGAGAACATGTCCTTAGGAAGCTATGACTAGGCTTTCCTCTGCCTTAGTTATATTGTGTACATTATGTGGATGGTGGTGTTCTCTCATTGGATGCTGGGGTACTTTCAGTGCTTAGGCAGCTATACATTCCAATTGCATATTGATACCAGGACTATAAAAGGAATCCAGCTAGTCATATCTGTCCCTGAAAACTGTCACCCATGTCCTCTGTGTCCTTTTAGCCTTCCTAAACATAATCAGATTTGAAACTAGAGGCTATTCTGGATTAATACTTACACAAACAAAGATTTTGCAGTATTTATTGCTCATTTACCTATACATGGTTCCTGGGTAGTTCTGAACCTTTTATATCCATTTCTAGTTCATTGAGATACAAAAGGTAATCTCAGGTTACTGTTACTAATATCAGGTCCCTGGGTTTTTTTGTTTGTTTTGTTTTGTTTTTGTCAGGATCAGCCTGGCAAATTTTGTTTTTTAATATGAGTAAGCAACTTTGAGATATGTATGTATGCAACTTCTCTTTGTTCATCAGACCATAAGTTGGAAATGCCTATTAATTTTTTGTGAGTTTGCTCCTTGTGCCATTTACTTGGCTTAGTATGGCAAATAATATAAAATTTCATTTATTTGTCTTCCCTAAGATAAGGACTTTTTGTTTAAACCTCATGTAAAACCTTAATTTAACTTATTTTGGTCAAGGTTCTGGTATATATTCTATTCTTTTATCTATTTTTATTTTATCTATTTTTTTATTGCCCTTTTATTATCTTTGTAGCCATAACTAGCTAAAGAGATTTAACTACCTTTTTAAAGAAATGTCAATAGTTTACTTCAGACTATGAGGGCCAATTCTTTACTCTGGGAAAAATAACAAATACCCTCATCTTCTAAAAGCAATGATAATGTCAGTTTAGTCTGAGAAAAAGAAAGATAAATTTAATTTCTTTTAATTTAATTTAATTTCTTTGATCTCTTTGAAGGACCAGAGTGCTTTGGACCTTTGAAACACTATCCTAAAAGTAGTTGACATGCCAATCTAGATTAGATTAATGTATTTTTGGGAAAAACATTAGTCATCCATTTATAGTTATTAGACAAGAATAAAATAACTTTTAGGAAATGTAGTTTTAGTGTGTTTATTTTTCTATTTTATGACTTTCATAAAAGGTAATAAAACATTAATTTCAGACTTCTATTATTTAAGTGAAATGTTCACAAAATCAGCTTACTTGCTGTTTTCATGTTATATTAGGATAGGATTCAGTTTTGAAATGTTAAACATATCCTTAACCTGCACAATATAATATGTAAAGTGAATATATTCCTCTGAAGACCAGGCACAAATTAGTTGTTAGTGAAAAATAGGATTCTGACCTGTTTAACAGTTGAGTTGGCTTTGGGGTGAGCGATTGCATGCCACTCTTTGTTGTACATTTACATTATGTTTCCCTGTTAAACTGATTTGTTGAAAATATGCTTAGTTTTTTGGTTGATATTTTTTTTTTCTGTACCTGATGTTGCCTTATAACAGTTATTGACATAAACCAGGGTTTGCTAAAGGCTTTTTAAGTTCTGAGTAGCTGAGTCCTTTCCTCAACAGTGGGAAGACTCCTCCATGCAGGGTGGATTCCCGCTTAGGCTGGAGTAACCTACATGAAGTTGTTTGTACATCTTTAAAAGTTTTATACTACAGCTGAGTTTAGAAACAACAAAATTTTCAGAAGTGGGATGAGGATGAGGAAATCCAAGGAAAATGGATGGCCGTACAATTCATTCTTTTTCTTGTCTTCAATTGCAGTCAAGTCAACTTTGCTGCTGTATCAAAGTCCAACCACGGGTCTCTTTCCCACTAAAACATGCGGTGATGATCGGAAGGCCAAGATCCAGGACAGTCTGTACTGTGCTGCTGGGGCTTGGGCTTTGGCTCTTGCCTACAGGTGGGCTGGTGTGTGCACTGCTAGTAACTCCAAGTCTAGGTAATAGGGTTTTGTTCGCCCAAGACAAACTGGGCAGCTGTCGTTGGACTCTGCTGCTGACTTACTGCGTGACCTGTGACTGCTCACATCTCTTTTTTGGCCTCTAAACCTTTTAGTTTTCCTGAGGGTTTATATGAGACTAGTTCTAACATTTTACACCTTTGTGACCAAAATTTTTCATCTCTGTTTATAAATCAGCATCAGTCTTTGGCAGAATGAACTGCCCATTTTCATTGAGCTGGTTGGTTTCAATCATAGAGAGAATTGATGGTGATTGAATTTTGCAGGTGATAAAACTGGAGGCTAGAGTAGTTAAAAGATTTGTTCAAAATTACACAACTAGTTAATGATAGAGCCAGCGCCAGGACTCCTTTTCTTTCCCCTCCCCAGTTTAGTGTTTTTCCCACTGCAGTTCACTGGGGTATCACTTGTTAAATCTGGTTGTAAGTCAAATAATTATTTATAAAGTAAAAAAAAATTCTTTCACTATACCAAATTTCTCCTTACCTTATTTATTTCATTATATATGGAAAACATCCAATGTGGGTCCTGACACATAGTCAGTAGTAATACATTTTAACCGTTATATTAAGATTAGGTTTCTGAATATTAATTTTCTGAGGGTGACACATACATGTACTTCTGATTTGAAAATTGTATCTTTCACATGAACATGATTCCTCTGTCTTAAATCATCAATGTGTTGCATTTGTAAAAGAAAATCAAATACTACTGAGTAATCACTTTCAGCACACTTGTTTGCTAATATCACTACAAGCCTTTCTTTACATATTGTATGAAAGCACAGTATAGCTTTTGTTAAATGTCAAGCTACTACTGGTCTTAGGAGTACAAGGAGCACCAATAGCACCTTAACCAAGTGGTCAAGCCAGTAATGGGACAGACTGACATTAGGTGCCTCCTGATGTGACACAATGGTATGTACACATCACCCATGTTGACTTCATACCAAAATGTTTAGGTGGATCTACCTGTGAATAAACAATCAGACAAAGCCAGATCGTGGCTACTTGTAAGATGACTTGCCTGGACTCTTAAAAAATGTAGCTATCAAAAAAGATGAGAAAATAAGTGTGAAGATGTTTAGATTGAGAAAGACTAAAGAAATATGACAACCAAATGAGTTGTATGATCCTTGATTGGATCATGCATTAAAAAAACACTATAAAGTATATTTTGGGGATAATTGGATAAATTCGATATAGACTATATATTAAATAATATAGTATTAGTATTCCTTGGGTGTGATAGTGATATTATTGTTATGTAGGAGAATGTCCTTATTTTTAGGAGATAGTTTTGAAGTGTTTAGGGATGATGATGTTTGTAGCTTACTTTCAAATAGTGCAGAAAATAAATTATAGATAGAGAATGCAAGCTAATTTTAGCAATTGATGAATCCAGGTGAAGAGTGGAAGGTTTCACTCATTGTAGCATCCTTTTAGCTTTTCTATAGATTTGAAATTTTTCTAAATAAAATGTTGAGGGAAAATTGCTAAAAATTATTCAGAATACTTTAAACATCTGATAGAGGGGCCGGCCCTGTGGCTTAGCGGTTAAGTGCATGCGCTCCGCTACTGGCTGCCTGGGTTCGGATCCCGGGCGCGCACCAATGCACCGCTTCTCCGGCCATCTGAGGCCGCATCCCACATACAGCGACTAGAAGGATGTGCAACTATGACATACAACTATCTACTGGGGCTTTGGGG